GGCAGATAAATAGTCTGAGAGGAGGACAAGTCTGAATGCAAAATCGTGAAAAGGCAACGTGAAAAACAGTCTAAGATATTTCCCAAGACGTCGTAGTAATTCATAGATAAAGAAAAAAAAACTATCTGAATAGAGCCATAATCCCTTACATCCTGAACGGATATGGATATGGTATATATATATATATATATATATATATATATATATATATATATATATATAAATATATGGATATAAATCCGACAGTATGAAAGAAAAATACAGAAAAAACAAAATTCTGAATATGCATTATTAATGTTAAAATAAAGTCGACGTCGGACGTTTCGGTCTATTTAAGACCATCTTCATGGACATAAAAAGTTAAAGAAATCTCTTCCGTTGATGTTGGAATACGTAGTGAAACAATTTTTTATAAAAATTTTTCAATCGACTTTTTGATATTTTAATTTTTGGAAATCATCTTCGAATACGTCTTAACAACATCGCCCACGAGACGACTACGTGATCATATTTAAACAGAACGCTGATCTGTATAAAATTTCAGTTGTCTGTTTGAATTAGTTGGGTTCTTATGTCCATCGTCTTTTGTGTTAAATTGTTATAAGTTATAATGTTAATTATGTTTAAATGAAAATGTCCATGAAGATGGTCTTAAATAGACCGAAACGTCCGACGTCGACTTTATTTTAACATTAATAATGCATATTCAGAATTTTGTTTTTTCTGTATTTTTCTTTCATATATATATTGATGCATGTTTCATTAAATAATATAGACAAGTGTTGTCTATTTTATGTAAATTCTTTTCATAACATCTGATAAGCTTAATAACATTATCATTAAAAGAAGAAAGAAAATCACAATATTGATACATATTTTTTAATCCAATCTAAGCTTTCGGCTTACAGAAGCCATTATCAAAGATGACAATTACAGTACAATATATTAAGCAATACACGGGAAAAAAACAATGATGATAGTCTGTTTCTGTTTACATGGATGATTTCCAAGCAACGATAAACACGTGCATATAAGACGGTGGAAGCGAAAATCGCACCGCAGCTCATGACGTCACACATGACCACGCGAGAGTGAAAACGAGAAGTATTAAATATGGGAAGCCGTTGGTATAAACCAATGGCTTTTGTTACCAATTATAGACATTTAAGAATATTTGTGGAGATTTCATAGTTTATTTTGTTCAGGTTAGGTTTCAACTGTTTTATTTATATAGCTTCAAGAATTTTTAGTTTTTGTTTATTGTTTTCATGTTTAAGTATAGCTGTGTTTTCAACAAGGATTTTACAGAATTGTTTACGCAGCCAGGCATGTTGTTTTAAATGCCTAAAAATGTTAGAGTTTTCATTCAAATGTAGTGTCAAGCGTCGTGAAAGCGAGTTTGTGTTGTGACCAACATAAATATTTAATTCATTGGAGATACAATCTCCCAAAGGGAACTTGAATTTGTAAACTATGTTTGTTTTTTTGCAAATCGCTAACCGGGGGAGAAGAATCATTGCAAATAATTGAGTTGGATATACTAGATTTAGTGTAGTATATAATTAACTTAATTTTTTTTGCTAGGATCTGTTGTAGATATATTAGTATTTACAATTTTTTTTTAGTATATTTTAATTTTGTTTATAATTAGTATGCATTTGATTACGATATAGGAGATTAATATGCTTGAGATTAGTAGAAGCAGTATTATGTACTATTTGCTTAGTATTGAGATTTCTAAGAAAGCATCTTATTTGTTCATCAACTATATAGTTTGGAAAGCTATTATTAATAAGTGTTTTATATTCTTTAGTTCACTGTAAAAAATCTGTTTTTGGATGAATTAGTTTCTGCACGATGTATTAGATTCTTTATAATTGCTATTTTGTAGTAATATGGGCATTCGCTCTTGTAGTTAAGTGTATATGAATTTATGCTGGTAGTTTTTTTGTATGGCGAAAAACTAAATTTGTTATTATTTGTGTTTATCAATATGTCAAGGAAGGAACTTTTATTATTAGTACTGAGTTCATACGTGAATTTAAAGACAGAATTATTTTGGAAACGTTTTTGAAGTTGAAGTATTTCATCTGTATTTTTAACTAACATATATATATTTTATCTTTCATCTGAATTTTTAACTAACATATATATTTTGATATTCCCATGGGAGCATATGATTAAGCCCAAGTAGTAGATTTAATAGGTATATACATTTTAGATATTCTAAGCAGATTCCTTAACCCCCAAAATGTAGGGCTATACAGGGATGATGGACTTATTGTTATACTTAATACTAATGGTCCTCTAACATCCCAACTACAGAAGAAAATAACTAAGGCCTTCCAATTTTGGGGATTTAAAATCGAAATATCATCCAACCTAAAAAATCGTAAATTTTTCTAGACGTTACATTTAATTTCTACAATAACACCTAAAAAACCCTTCCAAAAGGAAAATCATTCGCCCATATACATAAATATCAACTCAAACCACCGAAAGCAATTATAAACGAAATTCCAAATACAGTAAATACAAGAATAAACTGTCTTTTAGTAAAACAATTTTTAACCAAAATAAATCGACATATAATCAAGCCCTATTAAAAAGTAATTTCAAACAAACATTAAATTATATAGATAAATCAATTAATAACACATCCACTAAGTCCAAAAATAGGAAAAGGAAGATTATATGGTTCAACCCGCCTTTCTGTAAACTAATATCGATATAGGGAAATACTTCCTAAAGCTAATAGATAAGCATTTTAGTAAAGATTAGCTATTGAAAAAATGTTTACTAAAATGAATCTAAAAATTAGTTATTCATGCATGAGCAATGTGAAAAAAATTATAAGCTCTCACAATATCAAGATCATTTCACACTAACCAATTACAAAGGGATTTTAATGCTAAGCAACTGAAAAAAAGAAACATCTATCTGTAATTGCAGAGCAAGATCTTATTGAGAGCTACAAGGGACAAGAGGAAATGGCGAGCCATGATCGCCTTCGTCCTGAAAGTACATGGCACATGGAGAAGAAGACACAAATATTTCAAGGGACATTCAGCATGAATTCTTTGCGTTTGAAATGAAGATATTGCATTGAAGAATTTGGTTTCTTTACTTTTCAAACTCTTTCATACAGATAAAAAGTAAAATGAAAATTAAAAATTAAAAATCAAAAATCAAAAGGTAAATTTTTAACGATTTAAGCTAATATCTTGAGCCGTATAGTGTTTTGAAGCTAGCAGACAAAAAAGACACCTGCTGCCTTTCCCAAGCCCAAAATAAACGGCGTGGGATAACGTTAATTATAGTTTCGCTGACACCAATCTTACGACAGGCGAAAATCTGTCTAACAATCAAAAGCGAAAAGTACTAGACTTTATGAATTTAAGCGCAGTACTAGATTAGCGGAAAGGTCTCATTAATTTACAGCTGAAATGACGAGATGGAAGCGTATCTTCCATTCTAATAGTTTATTTACTCACATTTTTCGCTTGTGAATCTTTCGTCTTCTTGCTTTCCAGTCACTTTTGATTGGGAAATACATCGCCATCTTTGGCTATACGCAGGCGTATTTTCATGGTACTTGTTCTGATGAGTTTTCTTCTTTGGTACCCGGACTTTACAAATTTAAACGCAATACTACAGGGTGGTCCTAAAGTCTTCTCTCCCCCACCTAATATAATTAACTAGCAGCATGACCCGGGGTTGCCCGTCCTTGATTCAAAAATCGTATGACTCATACAACAATCGCTATCACTTGACTCAGAATCAACGTTGAGTTTAAGCAAGCGAATGAGCCAATTGGAGTAAAGTGCAATGCAGATTTAAATTTTTCCCACTTGTGACGAATGCAGCTATCGATTTTTTTTTGCATGCTAGTTAACATTCGTGTCAGTCAGCTGTTGGCTCTCACGCTGGCCAATAGAATCTTCTTGCCTATTCGTAACAGCCAGCTATAGGCTCTCACTCTGGCCAGTAGAAAATGGCCGGAAACTACATGAAAACTGCCGTAGAAGCATGAAAAATTCGATTATTTCAACTATCGATGAGAGTTGGGAAATGCAAAGTCGATCTTGGCCTTCCCACTAACTTGGAGCATGTGCATGTAAATTTTGGTGCAAATCCGTCGAAAATTGCGGCCGTGCTTTCGTTACACACACACACTGCCTTTTATAGATAGAGATTTTCTATTTCAACGATCTGAGGAGTATTTTCACCAAAGAGAGAGAGTTTCACCTGAACGATACCAGAATACCCATCAGTTGAAAGACGTCGTTCGGAGAGTCTTTGCAACAAACAACAAAGCACAGCTTCGTAAAATATCGCACAGGACATGGCGCCGTATCATTCCATGAAAATGATCGTCTTCATACAGACCTTCTCGATGTGTGATGGCATCAATTAAAGTGAATAAACCGAATCCAGTACATGTGCTTTGTATTACTTGTTGTTCTATTGTCTTCATAACAGACCTTCTCGATGTGTGACAGCGTCAATGAAAGTGTCTAAACCGAATCCAGTACATATGCTTTCCAAGACTTTCCGACCACCCTGTATATTTCTGTGCTGTACAGAGTGGTCCGAAAATCTTGTTACCCCTACATATTATAATCTATTTAAAATGGCTTCCACGAAAATGATAGTGCTCATAGAGACCTTCTCGATGTGTGACAGCATCAATGAAAGTGAATAAACTGAATGTTCCATTGTTCTCATTACATTTTTTTTGGTAGGGGCTGACAAAACTTTCGGACCACCCATTGACAGCATAGTCTCATTTTGCAGTTTAAAATTACTAGATTTTAACCGTAAGTTCTATGCTAACAGTTTCTTCTGTCGCACTCCTCGCTTGTAGACCTCTCTTCCGGCTTCTTGCTTTTCAATCAACTTTGATCTTCAAAAATTTAAACGCAATGTTATTTTTTTATATCTTTGTCTTTTTAATTAATCTGTTCTTTTATTGTCCTCTTTCTTTAATAATGTCTTATGAACACCGGCTCCCATACGATCAATGAAGTTAAGCAACGTCGAGCCTGGTCAGTATGGGTGACCACTTGTGAATACCAGGTGCTGTAAACTCAGATGTGCGGGTGGTGTAATGGATGATATCCCGGAATTGTTAATCGAAGAGCAGAGTTCCAATTCCAGTTGGGTTCGTTAAATTCACTTACGCGCAAATACCATTGGAAAGATATGACCCCCACATATTTCCCCCAGCTATGAGCTAATTAGTAGGGTTTGTATACTAAACCATTATTATTAATCCCCCCAATAAAAAAAAAAAAACCCCAACCTAATCTAAAAATATTTTCTGGCTTTAAATAACCTACAAAGGGTTGATAAGACATAAAATCAAATCACTCCTTAATAATGTATTCCTTTATCTGATATTCTCTCAAACACAGCAACCCCTTGCTTGTTTGGGAGTGAAATGATTTTACTAAAAAAAAATTTGGCCCTCCCAATGTCGGGTATCATTGCTAGTAATAAGTTGAAATACCCTTGCAGAGGAAGATAGAGAACGAGATACAGAGATATGGACTTGACCAGTTCGAGAAAGCGTTGCTTTGCTGGGGGTAACAAAAAAAAAAAACACAAACAAAAAAAAAAAAAAAAAAAAAAAAAGAAAAAAAAAAAAAAATAAGAAAAGGATAATAGTCTTTCTATCAACACGACAGAAAATGTCTGGCGGACAGACAGACAGACAGACCGACCGGCCCTTTCACTTTCATGAATGCGTGTCTTACGACATTAGTAAGATGAAAAGCACATGTGACGACATGTGCCGAGACGAAAAAGAATGAGACGTGTTGAAGAAATAATATAAAGAGTACGTGTGTCAAAGTTGTAAAACTGGTTTACTATGATAAAAAGGTCACATGATAATTTATGAATGAACGAAACAAACGCCACAGAATGCAATGATTTCATGAATGTCTAGGTTTTTGAATGAATGAATTACTCAGATATACCTGCATGATATTTAAGATATATTTGACATATGGCATTATTTCTGTCAGTAACATTTATTTTAATTCCTGACCAATGGCATTCACTTTCTGATTTTAATACATTTCTCTTGTAAAATGAGCGACTGCGCTTAACTAAGGGGTGCTGAAAAATAAATAAAGTGATAACTCTCCAGAATCTATCTTAAATATTTATAAGTCTACCATTCGTCCAGGTTTAGAATATTACTGCCATATATGGTCCGGTGCTCCTGCTATTTATCTAGAGCTTTTTGATAAAATCCAAAGAATCATTAATATTATTGGTCCTGATCTGGCGTCTCGGCTTCAGTCACTTTTTTTTTTTTAACAACCGTAAGTTTGCCTCTGTCTTTTCTATAAAAAAAAAACTTTCATGTCAATATCTCTGATGGGCTCTTCTGTTCATTTTTGTAAATATCATTGGGGGTTACATTTTAAATTGCTGTTTTATTCCCCTGCTCCCCCACAGACAATGAATTGTACATATGGGGACTAGTTAAGACTTTCATAGAGACAATGAGGTATTATGGCGTCTGTCGTCAGAATGGTAAGTAAGAATTCGTTGTTTTGGTGTTAGGAATATTGTGGTATGTTTGGGTCAGTGATTTTGGTGAGCTAAGTTTAATGTTAAGTCAGAAGAAGATCATCCCCCCATTTTGGCCTTGTGCCACACTTTGTATTTTCATATACAAAAAAAAATATCGCTCTTGGCTATGGTGCCCAGACTCTTTCAATTTAAGAGCTGTACTAGATTGACGATGAGGTCTCACCAATTTACAATAGAGCTGGCTACATATAACCGTAAGTTCTATGCTAACAGTTTCTTTTCTCGCACTTTCCACTTGTGGAACTATCTTCGGGCTCGGTACTTTCCAGCCAACTTTAATCTGCAAAAATTTAAAAGCAATGTCAATCGCTATCTACTCTCCTGATTACCCTGCTTTTGTTCTCACTCCTTAGTAATGTTCCCATTTCTAACTCTTCCACACCCAGTAACTCCTTGTGTCTTAGTGGCTTTAATAGCTTGCTTGGGACGGACTCGATTAAAAAGTCGCTTAGCATGCGTCCTAACCTTTTGGTTAAAGTGTGTGGAATGTTAACATCTTGATTATGCCATCATTTATCACTTAGAGTTAAATGTGCTATCCATTTCACTTGTTGCCGCTGTTGGTAGTCCTCAACTGATGTGGTTTGTTATTTGATGCAATTCTTTGTGAATCTGTAGCACCAGTCCAAAATGTGTAAAGAGCTTGCATACAGCTGATAGTTTAAATATTTCTGAAGTTTGGGAATCGCTGATTTAGATTTTTAGGTGTTTCACCTATGTATTTTTTGGGAGATTTTACAGTCTATTTTGTAAATCTCGGCTTCAAGTTTAAACTTGCTATTTTGTGTGAATTAAATCTAATCTAAATAATTGTATTTTATTTTAAGCTTCTCCAATGACCGAAGTATTTCATATTCAACGCGAAACAAAATGCTTGTAAAATATTTAAAAACAAAAGTATCATTCTGACAAACCCAACTTATCAAAATACAGACAGACCTCTCATCAACGGACTAATGGGTGGTCCGTTAGAGCCGATTGTCCATAGATGGGAAGGGACTATTTTTGAATTATAAAACTACTATAGTAACTAACAGAAGTTATGATCATAATGTAAATGCTACAAAAATGTATATATGGCATAAATAAATATATACTTAATATAGACTAGCAGCATCCCGGCTTAGGGTAGACCTGGGAACACCAGCAATTAAGAGGTAGTTCCATGGTCCTTAAAATCGCCTGATCAAAGGACTTGGTGTCGGATGTAGTTTATCGTCTTACCCAGGACGAGGGTGCAGTTTATCGTCTTATCCAAGCCGCGGACGGATTTTTGGGTTAACTATTTGCCGATGGCTGGGTGAGCCTGGGAACACTAGCAATTAAGAGGTAGTTCCACGCTCTTCAAAGCTCCTGATCAAAGGACTTGATGACAGATGTAGTTTATCGTCATACCCAGGACATTGTTTGGAGTGAAGAACAGTAAAAAGAAAAAAGTAGGCAAAATAACCGCTCGTTTTTATACTTTTAATAATTAAATTGTTTAGTTATTTGAATAAAGCTGTTTTCCGGTTTGAATGTAATAACTACCTTAGCATTTAGATCACAGACAAGAAACGAAGGGAAATAATGTATAACGAGAAGTGAACAGTCATATATAACCTCTCTCCTCGCAGCTGTCAGTTAAGCAGAATTAAGTAGACTCCAGTCTTGGCTGACAAACAGTTTAAGAGAAGGACGTGTTTGAATTCAAAGCCGTGGAGAAGGCAACGTGAAAAACAGTCCATCTTTCCCAAGAAGTCAGAGCAATTCATAGATAAAGAAAAAACTATCTGAATAGAGCCATGATCGCTTACGTCCTGAAGGGATATGATATTACTTATTATAAAACGCAGGTTGTATGTGTGTGTGTCTGTACGTTTATATATTGGATCGGATTTCCTACATTTTTTCAACAGATTTCAACAAAACTTCACAGGACTACGTAAAATTACCTTGCGGTGGTTCTAACAGCGCCAAAAAATGGAAAAACAAATTCTTTTGCTCGAAATCAATTTGAAAACACGATTAAGAGGCATCACTAGAATGAAAGGGGGACAACTCATATCGAGTTATACATTATAAAACCCAGGTTGTTTGTGTGTGTTCATTTATATATGGGATCGGATTTCCTACATTTTTTAACCGATTTCAACAAAACTTCACTTTTTTTTTGGCAGGTAGTGTTTCTTATTGTCTTGCACATTTTTTTCTTTATTTTTACATTCAGAATGCTTTAAAAATTCCATTTACAAGACAATTGTTTATAATAAAATTCTATTTAATCGGTAGACTCCTAACGATTAAAAACAATGTTTTTGCTTGAGTTTGACCAATTCGTAAAAAAAAACAAAAAAAAAAAAAAACTAATGAAGACATGCGTGTACGTCAACCTTAGACAATAATCTTTGTCAATTTTATTTTTCAGTCTTTATGATGGTCGATACTTGATCTATCTCTTACTGTTACATCCCCGGGCAACGCCGGGCTCTACTGCTAGTATTTAATATAAGTGTGTGCGTGTGTGTGTATGTGTGTGCATCATTCACTATCGGAGAACAGCAAGGATTGCACGGATTGAAACAACGAATTCCTTGTGCGCGTCAGTTTGTTATATTTAATTCAGAAGTGACGCGCTCGTCAAAGACAAGGGTAGTAACTTATTTGCATTGTGAGTCATCGTGCTTTATAGGGGGAGGAAATTATAGTTGTGATAGATGGTCGGTAGAAAAATATACAGACAAACTTCTCATCTATGGACCCCTCATCAACGGACTTCAGATGCAACGGACAAAATCTGCAGGCAAACATGTTTAATTCAAAGTGGCCTATTGCTAGAAACGTTGATTCACTGAGTATATAAAACTAAAAGTTAACCCAATACAAGGCTCAAGCGTTGCTCAAGGTAGGTTTATGACTGAGGTTGTATGAATGCAAAAAGAGAAAGTGCAGATTATATGTAGAATAGATAATGATTGGAACTAATTTTTTTAATCGTTTCACCCCAAGCAAGACGATAATGTCGCTAGGATGCAGAGGGTTACAAAGTGAGAATGAAAAACAAAAAAATTAGTGAGGAAAAGGACAATAAAAGAACAGATTTCAGGAAGACAGAAGATCGCGATTGACGTTGCATTTCAATCTTTGAAGACTGTAGGTGGCAGAGAAGAGAGAAATCCGAAGAGAGTTCCACAGGCGAGAGGTGCGAAGAAAGAAACTATTCGAACTGAACTGTTGCACCTACCGAGTTCAACAGTAAAACAGTGAGACCTAATTGCCAATTAAGTAGCACGCTTAAATTTATGCAGTCGAAGTAACAAGGAGGAAAGCTCATCAGAACAATTGGCATGAAATATTTGTAGAAAAGACAGAGGTCAGCGTGGGTGAGAAACTGACTAAAACAGAGACACAAGGTCAGGGGTCGATTACATTACGGACCCTTCTTTGAATTTTGTCTAGAACATAGAGATAAATAGCAGGAGCACCAGGTAAAATACGTC